TGCAGGTGAGAATAATATTATAAAACTGTGAAAAGAAAATATAGGGTGCATCTGTAATGGCATTCTAAGTTTTGTTTACAAAGAATAGTTTTCAGAGGTTGTAAAAAAGGGGGTAAAGAGAAATTAAACCAATCATGTCTATACACATGTTTGGGCACTCCTAGGAAATGAAACGTGTCTGTCAGTAGGATCCAATTCTAACAGACGATGGTGATTTGGGTCAGAATCTCCAGTGTGAGTTGCATATAGCGTGCAAAAATCTTAATAAACCAGGTTGTATTACAACTTTCACTCTCTTTATCTCCTGGGCCTCTCAGAGTAGGAAATGAGATAAAACTGCCCTTCTTTCTGTATTCTACTGTCTGGTCTGCTCCTCCCTCTTGTACTTCCCATTTTCAAACCAACAGCAAAGGCCCAGGTATCACACTACTGTGTATATGTCTGCCAAAGATCTCTGAGGGAAAACAAATGGTTGATGTGACCTGATGCCTCACAGTCCACCTGGAAAACAACAAATAAGTGACAGCTGACATCTGCATGCAGTCACCTTGGCTTGGTCCTGGGGAGAGAAGCTGAAGATAAGTTCCCAGTAGCTCTTATCTCTGTGACACACTATCAAAGTGGAAAAGGAAGCCACCAGAGTGAAGCTCCAGAATAGTGTGTTCAAGTCAGCTACCGGCTTGTTTTGTGTCTCAGTTCTACAGACAGCTGGTCTGTAGAAACAAATTGGATGAACTTGTACACTTCCTAAAGTGAAGTCAGGCTTTAAACCAAGTCCTGAGTAAGCATTACGTTGGGAATGAAGGAACCTGGGTTCCAGTCCTGGGGAGACCTCATTGTAAATTAGAATGCCCATTCTAGGTGTTCTGTGGAAGTGTTGGCAATGTGTTGGAAGGGCATTAAGGAACCTGGGTTGGTGTCCTGAGTAGACCTCAGTTTCCTCATTTGTAAGGTGGATGGCAGTGCTAGTGCATCTATGGGAGGAGTTAGTAAAGTACTGGAAGAAATCCTGGATTAAGCTACACCTAATCATGAAATTAGAAGCAAAACTGTATTTGTGTGTGTGATTTCACTGAGTATATACCTACCCCACAAAAAGTAATTAAGAAACATTAAGTTATGGGGTTGGTGAGATGGCTCTGTGGCAAGAGCCCTTGCTGCTCTTCCAGAGAACCCAAGTTCAATTCCCCAAATCCTCATGTCAGTTTACAACCACCTGTAACTCCAATTCTCAGGGATTCAATCCCCTCTTCTGTCTTCTGCAGACACAAGGCACACACATGCACATAGAACACCCATACACATACAATAAAGTAATTTTTAAAAATTTGAAAGAAGCATTAAGTGTTGCCCAAATTCTAAAATTCATTAGTTTTAAATGAGCTCTCATCACTTCACTTAACTATTCAAGACATGGAAAATAGTTACTTCAGATGTGTTTTGGGCAACAAAAATTAAGGATGTGCATGTGTTTTTGAGCTCCAAACTTTGAATGCATGTTTAAAAACTAATCTAGGGGCTTGATAGATGGCTCAGTGGTTAAGAGCCCAGTATGCTCTTCTAGAGGACCAAGGTTCAGTTCCTAATACCCACACAGTGGTTCACAACCATCCTTACCTACATTTCTAGGAGATCCAACACCCAATTCTGGCCTGCACATGTGCTAGGCCCACACTTGATACACAGATATACATGCAGGTAAAATACTCATATACATAAAACAAATTAATCTAGATTCTGATTACAAACTAACAAAAAGAATCTGTTATATGTTTTGTAGAATCTTAATAATTTTAGACTTCAAAATCTAGGTTTTACCATTAATAAATAGACTACTGAACTTCCAGTCTTAACTTTGTGTATACAAAACTACATTAGAAATACTTTGTCTCCAGACAGACAGTGGTATAGCATACCTTTAATCCTAGAACTAAGGAGACAGAAGCAGATGGATCTCTGTGAGTTTGAAGCCAGACTGGTCTACAGAACAAGTTCCAGGACAGCCAGAGCCATACAGAGAAAACTTGTTTTGAAAAACCAAGAAGAAAAAAGAAAAAGAAAAAATACTTTGTCTTCAAATTTTTTCTTACAATTTTGAAGTGATCAGTTATAAATGATCATATATCTTTAAGAAACTTAGACATGTTTGGTATTAAAATATTACTCTTTAAAAACTAACCCACAATTGACTCTTTTTTAACCAAACATTGGTGATTTGTATTTGGAAAGAATTTTGAAGTCTACATAGTAAATCACTAAGCTGTTTCAACTATAAAAACCGTTTTTTGCGGGGGTGGGGGTTGTTTGTTTGTTTGTTTTGTTCTATTTCGTTTTGTTTTCTAGACAGTGGCTCACCTTGTAGCTCTTGGTGGGCCTGGATCTCCTTAAATAGACCAGGCTGATCTCAAACTCACAGAACTCTGCCTCCCTCTGTCTCCTGGGTGCTGGAATTTAAAGAGTATACCACTATGCCTGAACAAAAATTTTCAATTTTTATTTCTCTTGTTTTAAATGCATTCTGTTCTTTCTCTGTCATGGCATCTGAAAACTAAAGATAATGAGCTAAATACCTTAAAACCCTCTCTTTTCAAATCTGTCTACACAAAGCAGTGGTCATCTACCCCTCAGTGTCTATTGTTCACTTGAAAAGTAACATAGGCTAGGTTTTGCCTTCAAATTAGCAAGGTTAATGTAGTTAATGTGAACCGCTCTTTCTTTCTTGTCCCTGACCTGCCTGGATGCTCTTGAGATATTAGCAAGTCAGTACCAAAGCATGATTTTCATGGATTCCCCTCTGCTATGAGCAGTAGAAGTTTCATGACATCTGTTTCATTTTCCTTGGTTTAAAAGACAAATTTTCCTAGGGCCATGAAAAGATTCCTGTATTTGTCCAGAACATAAAGACTCACCATCATAGAAAGGTTAACTTGGGTAGATCAGCCCAGCCTGTCTGTCTTCTAGCTCATGGGTGTTAGACAGTACCCAAGAGCTCAGACCATCAAAGCTTCATTAAGGCTGGTTCACTACACTATAGTCCCACTTACAAGACACTCGGCAACATTAGGAAGCTGTTTGTCCCATGTTTATAATTGAATACATTTTCTCTGGGTGTTGTTAGTCTTCCTTGTATGGCAATTGCCTAAATAGAGCATTGGGTACATAGTCTTCAGCTTTCAAAAAAAAAAAAAAATCATCTCAGGTGTCATCCCTGCCTTATGTGGGTGAACCAGTTTTACTGAAAAGTTACTGTTGAGAAGTTAGAGGGTCTGTAGTAACTGTCACTACTCTTCAGGAAAGCAGAGTGCATAGGGACTGGTAATAGCCCCGTGTCTGCCACAGTATTCCTGTACTCCATAGCAATGCTGCTGCCGGTGAACTCTCCCTAGCAAAGGCTGTGCTGGCATGCAGTGGACAGGAGAGAGTAACAGTTGTGCCTGTCACCTGTAGAATTTAAGGATTTAGAGTCAGAATTTTACAAAAGGCAAGGTCTTATCTACCACCATCTCAACTTTGTAAATGGGAATGGGGGCAGGTGTGCAATAAAAGATTCCTCTAAAGTCATATTGTTTTAGGTGATTAAAAATTACAGGTATTCCTGAATCTTGGTCTTGTGGTCTCATGCAGTGTTGGGATTTATGAGTAAAATCTATACAGGATAAAACTGCCTCATGCGCCGGGTGTTGGTGGCACACATCTTTAATCCCAGCACTCGGGAGGCAGAGGCAGGCGGATCTCTGTTAGATCTAGGCCAGTCTGGTCTCCAGAGCCAGTGCCAGGATAGGCTCCAAAGCTACACAGAGAAGCCCTGTCTTGAAACCCCCCCCCCAAAAAAAAATCCTGCCTCATGCTTTCCTGCTAAAGGCTGCAGATGTTATCTGCTGCTACATTGTATCTCACACTTAAATTACCTTTAAAGTCAGATGAAAACCCAAAATTAACAGCAGCCATGTTTTGCAGCAGGAGCACTGGTTGTGTTCTGACTGACCAAAGTCCTAAGCAATGTGTTCCCAGTTGCTTCAGCTAGTGGCTAAAAAGATTTGCAAACATTTAAGCAAATGGAAAATACTTATAACATCTCAAACTTGCCACTTAAAATAAATGTTTAAAATGATTGCTCTTCAGGCTGATAGTGTTTGGCTTGTCCAATTCTCAAACTGGTCTAGTATGGTACTTCGGATCCCACAAAGGCTGGCTCCCACTTGGTTCCCAAATCGAGATTTGAATATCTGGCTCTTGATGCCAGTAAATGTCAAGAGAAGCAATCGATAGATAGTCCTTCCTAGCTACTAAATAAGAGTAAGTTTTGGTGCCAAGTTACAGAAAAGCACAGTTTTAAGAACAAATAAGAAACTGAATACACCACAGTACTGGGAAAATGAACAGTGTAATAATCTAATATTCTTAATTTTATGTACATGAATATAATGTATATCAACTTTTTTTACATGAGATACATATAGCATTTAAACATTTTACTGAACAAATAAGAATTTACAACAACAATATTACTGCCTAGAGGGCAATGTGATCTTAGATTAGATCTATACTTTAACAGAGAAAGAATTTAATAGCTTATAATAATAGAAACACCAACATTTAAAACAGAATTTATAAAATAATTTATATATATGTATATTTCCCCTAGCATCTATAGAGAGGATCAATTTGCATTTGTGAATGTGTGCAACAAATGGCATGGTTTTAAATTTTTAGATACTAAAATAATTTAGAAGCAGTTCATGCAATGCTCAAAGCAAGGGTGGAATACATCAAGATACCCTCTTCCTTTGACATCAACCTGCATCAGACAGATGGATGGTAATTACCACAGGTATGTGTGAGTACAAGTCTCCAGGTTATGTTATACAAACATCAATGTACACTTGTTGGTATCTTTTCTTTCAAGCACAGGTCACAACTTTAGTCCACCGTGAGAGTAGTCAGTTTACAAAGTGATGCCATGTCACTCCTGGAGTTCTATACATCTTCACTCAAGGTAACTAACAGACCTTCCTTGTTTTCACAACTTTACTCTGATACTTCACAGAGTGTCCCCCATGTCCTACAACATAAACATCCAGCAGGTAAGACTTGCCAGGCTGCAGATCTTTGATCGTCTCTGTGGTCACTGCTTTTTTCCGGTTTGGGCTGTGGAAATATTTGCAGAGGACTTTCTCTGACTTCTTCCTGGTGTCTGGTCCAAGGCACCGGTTTTGCTCTCTTCTCTTCTGGTCTTCGCTGTAGTTCCCATCCACTTCTTTTCTGTAGATACAAAACTTTCTCCTTTCTTGGGTGCCTACCCAAGCCACTGTGACCGAAGAGCAGGTTCGTAGCTTATCGAAGGCTTTGATTCTCGTGTCTTCTGGAAGAGAGGGGAAAGCCTGCTTATTGGGCTTGGTGGTGGCCAGTATTTTCAACATAGAGGTTGCTTTCCTGTTGCCTCTCAGTCGAATGAGGTATTTTGCTTTGGGTTTTCCTCTCAGCTGGAAGTGCCGAATGCCTTCCACATTCTGTGACAGAAGCAGCTTCCCGTCTCGTTTCACTTGGACTTGAACAGCATCCAGACAAGAGTAAATAAAGAAGCTGGCTTTTTGGTGGGTGGAGACTGGAGCAAACCGCAGAAACTTTGTTCCCCTCCTTTTAACAAACACATCTGTGACCCTCCCGTCTTTTAGCTCCATTATCTTCTGTTTTGCTTCCTCCTTGGTCTTGGCAAAAGTACCCACATAAGCCGTGCTCAGGTTGCTGTTGGTATTGACCATGAAGACATCAAAATAGTACTGGGTGTCCGGCTTCAGGTCAGAGACTGTGAAAATGTTTTTATTTCCTATGCAGATTTTCTGAATGTCAACCTTGGGCCTCCAGTAGGCATGGCGCCCCACTTTGGGAGGTTTTGCCAGGAAGCTGCGATCTTTACCCAAATTGTCTATTGGAAATCCAAAATGGGCAAAGTCAAAGGGGCTAAAGTCCAAGCCAGGTTTGGGTGCCATCATGAAGGTGTCATCTGCACTCATCTTTGTTTCCACTGCACAAAGGCTTTTGAAATTGTGCTCCTTGTTGATGACCACACAGTACTCGATGGGTTGTTTCAACATAGAGGCTGTGGGGCTCGGCTTCCAGACTAAAGTGACTGTGGTACGTCCGAGAGAGGTCACATCAACTCTGGGGTCATATGGTAATTCGGGGTATGGCTGATCAGATTCTGGAGTGGTGGTGGCATACACTTTGAAATGTGTGTCTTTCTCTGTTGAAAGAAGCTCCAGCTGATACAAACCAGATGGGGAACTTGAAGACAGAAAATACTCTACATCATTGCCCTTGTAGGAGAACAGCTCTGTGCCCTTCACATCTGTCACCTGCTGCTTCTGCTGGTCAAGTGGTTCTGGATCACCTGAAAAACAAGGGAGAAGCATAGACAGTGCTACTGTAGCTTGCCAATCTTAGATTATGTTTTGTAACATCTGGTCTTCATGTCAAAGAGATGACAGTCCTAACAGAGACAATCACACCAAAAGAAGCAAGAGGAACACAAGAAGGTCACTAATTTCTTACAACAGAGTCTGTTCTTCCTCCTGTACTGCCACACTCTCTTCTCTCACACATTTGTGTGTTACTTTCACTGATTTCTTTCCATAACCTAATGAAATATATACTCATACACATATGAATCTACGTAAGCCTCTAGATTTTGAACCCTGTTCTTTCTTATGTCATAAATAAATACTATTGGTTAGTCTTTTACTATGGTAAGTGATACCCACATGGGAGCAAGGCCTTTCTTAATTTAAATTATTTCTTCTGGGTAGGATTCAGCTAGCGGAAAAGTTAGGTCAACAACTAAACTTTCTAAACATTATTGATCTGATGTGAATGAAAATGACAAAACGAACATGTTGCTTGCAGCAATGGTCAGCCATTGTTCTCCTTTCATGACCATTAGTGGGGCTGGGTGGCCTGATCAAAATACAGGGGTTAAAGCACCAGTAAAGGTGTTTCAGGATCAGTGTTCAGCATTGGTTCGAAGAAATACTACAGAGGAAGGCTTAAAACTACAGGGATGTTTTTTTCATTCAAAAAAATATTTGGCTACCATTAACATCAGTACTATGCAGATATAAGCAAAAATATCTAGAAGCTGGTGGAATACTGGGTGACCAGAATGGACAGCAGTTTTCTAGCTTATTGCCACAAATTGAAAGTGTGTAGACTGACTTATTCCAGAATTGTGGGAAGAACGGAACTATTTCATCCATTAATGTCAGAGATACTGTACTATATCTTACTACTTCCCCATGGGCTCTTCCATGATTGCCCAAGTACCGTAACTCACAAACATCCTTCCCATAGGCGCAGTTGGCAGGCCTTCATCTTTAAGCTAAGATGCCCTTAGAAGGATCCACCATTATTCACCCATCATCAGCTATTTGCTTCCCACCTTCTATCTTCTTCAGGTGACTAACCCTTTTCTCCTACTGACTTCCTTGACCTCCTGCCTTTAAACATTGCTAAATGCCTCTCTACTGCTTTGCATGCACCCTTTAGTCCCCAGTAAGGAGACATCCTTAACCTTGCATGAGCCTCACTCAAAGCCACCTTTGGGGAGCTCTTTATATCCCACAACAAATAAGCCAGAACATCGGATGCTGCAATCAAGGCACCTGGGGTTTCAGATGCTGCAAAGGTGAAGACAGGCTTGCGGATAGCATACGCAGAGGCTACCCAAACTGCTCACTCCACTCCACACTCCCTTTTGCATCTTTTACTTTACCAAGATCAAAGTCATCTCATGCCATTTCTCCATTTCAGATGCCAGCTTCACTCGTGCAACAGGGTTGCTTCACTTCCTTGCAGAATGCTGTGTGTTTCACAGCTCTGAGGCTAGGTGAATCCTGCCCCTTACCTGATCCATCTGCACTCCCCTCCTCAGGCAGCTCCTGGAGACTAAGCTTCCACTCCAAAGGGGCATCACAGGGTGTCACCGTGACAGACAATGGGGTGTTGTCTTCCTCAACCATGAAGAAGTACCTAGGGGAAAGTTCAGACCCTAGGATGAATCTAGTAACAACCATCGAGACTTACCAGAAAAGCCATGTGGTTTTTCAGAGAAACATAAAACTCTGAAAGTCTAATTGTTCAGAGTCCAAATGAGATCCAGGAACCAAAGTTAACACCAACAATTACAAGGAAGGTAACAAAACGACATTCAACCAAGTGTTGTGAGTTCAAGATGAACTCTTTTCCATCAGTAGGGGTTCCCACCATAAAATAAGTAAACCACTAAGCCTTCCCTGTGTGTTATGTAGCACTGAGCTTTGGCAAGTGTTTGTTATCTTGATGGCACTCTGATATGTCACCCACTGTGTCAAAAGATCAGTTTCCAAAACCATTGTTCTAAAATGTACCCTTGGTCTCTGGGAAGATTACAGAGCGTATGTGTTTATTATTTATTTATTACTAAAACATCCTGTTGAATTAAGTACATTAATAATTTTAAAACAGAATTTTAAAAAATCAAGACATCTTGCTCCGTTCTTTTACCTCAGAAATTTTATTTGTGGTACCTCAGGAGACAAATTATGAAAATAAAATTATCATTAACCTATAAAATGATGCATATTCTAACTCCAGATTACCTTCACACTTTCACTTAATTATCTTTCAAAGGCTGTAACCTTGCAAATGAGAGAAACTGGTGTCAGTGCTGGCTACCTCAGCGGTGCCCACTGGTTCTATGGCAAAAGAGATAGTGGGCTTCACTTCCTGTATGCTGTATCAGCACAATATTTCTCACACCATTTTCTCACACACACCCCACTACAACTGCCACACTGACCACAGTACCCCACCCTGCTGACTCTGCTCACCTCCCACGCATCTAATCTCTCTAGTGAGCCTGGGCTGTGACATGGATGTCCCTTTTCTAACTGTTCTTGCTCCAATATCACCTCATCTAGATGCCTAGCTTTACCTCATGTGTGCTAACAAATCTCAAGTTTAAATCCTCAGCCTGAACTCTTTTTCCATCTTCAATAGGACAATGCATTTCAAACTTGAGACACCTAGTCTGAATTCCTGCAACCCATCCAACTGTTTTTAGTAGATGACAACTCCAAACTTCTGGTCATTGCAAACATTTTGTAGTTCAGAGTAAGAGCCACAGAGCTTCCAGTATCCCACATATCCCTGCCCCTTAGTGCTCAGCCGCAACTGAATCTACTTTGTCATTGCTTCACTCCAGCTCTGTAGTCTGTGGTACCTGTATGCCAGCCCATGGCCTCTGCAGGTCCGCTCTTCCCTGGAGCAGAGCACTCCTCTAGACAGAGCACTCCTCTAGTCAGAGCACTCCTCTAGAAAGCAGTCTGGGAATACTTAGCTGCTCCTTCAGTACTCTACTCCAGCAACAATGTGGATCCATTAGGATTCCATACACAAAATAATTCCTTGCTAATGAGTGTCTCTTTCATTTTATTGTTAAAGTATTTATTGGCACCTAACATATTGCATGTTTCATTCATTCCGTTTAAATTTTCTGTCCTCCTCAACTAGACTGACAGCCACAAGAGGGCAGCCATTTGTTTCATTGGTATGTATTCAGACACTGAAATAATTCAAAATATTTGTTGAATGAATTAACCAGCTGTGATGTCCACCTCTAAATCATTTTACTTCTTCCAAAAGCTTTTTTTTCCATTGAAATAGGAGCAACACAACATCCTGTTCAAAGTTTCTAGAACCTGGTGAAACACTGGGCGACCAGAATGAGAACAACCCTTTTCCAGATTTTACCACAAGTTGTCAGCGAAGTATGTAGGATTTCTTGTCCTCAAACAAAGAGAAAAACTCAATCAACATATCATTGTGGATTTCCGAGTTCCTTTCTTATGTTTAAGCCCCATCATTTCTCATGGACTCCTGTACCACTTCCTGAGTACCATAACTCACAAGCATCCTTCATGCAACAGCAGTTGTCAGGCCTTTATGTTTAACCTAAGGTGACCTTTCAGAAGGAGCCACAGGATCATTGTCATGGCCCTGCACAGGCCTTGCATTTTATTATATAAAATGCACACTTTTTCAGCTTTGATCCACTTCACAGACTTATATTTTAGCATTGAGTTAAGTCACTAACCAATCTCATGGTCAAGATTCCTCACCAAGCTCTTTCCTTGTCTCTATCTCTTTGGCTTTTTGACTATAATGACATTGGACATATGTAGTCTCCCAAACACTTCCTATTCCTGGGTCTTTGAAATGTGTTTTTGACAGCCCACCTCTCTGCCCTACTCATGTTTAAATCTGCTTCTTCAGGAATGTTGGTCCTCACTCATTCCAGAAGAGGTTTGCATATAGTCTTTCAGGGCCTATACTGCCCATATTTCACACTAACTGCAATTTGTGGCTATATGTATTTGGGTGATTGTAGGAAGCCGGTTCCTGCATTATAATGCTGCCTGAAGACACCAAGGTGTGAATTACTTCACAGGCGCTGGGTAATCTCCATTCCTTTGAGCTCTGCCTATCCCGTGGCTCATTCTTGCCTGAGGAGCTAAAGCCATTCATAGGGTAATACGTCCCAGGCGGCTGGTCAGCCTTTTATATAGGGATGGTTTTCTTAGTTCAATGTCTCTGCTAAGTCTCTGCTCAGTCTCTGCTCAGTCTCTGTTCAGTCTAATGCATTAAAGCTTGTCTGCAGAAGGATCCGAATGTCCTGCGTGTATTTCTTGCTGGCGAGGAATACAGAGAGCGCGCGGGACATATGGTGCCGAAACCCGGGAAGCTTAACATCTCCAGCACCTCAGAGACCCCTCTAACGAGGCGGATTCAGAACTGCAGGGTGGTAAATTCGGAGAGGTATGATTTTTCTGGACTTTGGCTTGGGAATGTTGCTATTTTGGGAGGTTAATCTATTTTGACTTTTCTCACTGTTGTAACAATCTTAAAGAAGTCCAAAATTACATATCAGAAACCGAATGTAATGAGAGAAATTCGGAGAGGTATGATTTTTCTGGACTTTGGCTTGGGAATGTTGCTATTGTGGGAGGTTAATATAGAGGCTTCTATGCTTTT